AGCAGGTCTACAAGCCCGAGCAGTGCGATGACTGGTACAACTACGACGTCTGCTACACTCCTGTTGACTGCGATGTTTGCGAGCACGGCCAGGTTATCTACAAGCCTTGGGAGAACAGCTACGGTACTCCTGAGCACCCCCAGATGCCTGAGATCCCTGCTTGCTCTCACCCTGAGTGCCCTGCTACTGAGCACGGTTCCAAGCCTGTTCCCGGATGCATGGGTGATGACTGTGAGGACTCTGGTTCCAAGGGTGGTAACAACGGAGGCAACGGCGGTAACGGTGGAAACGGCGGCAATGGAGGCAACGGTGGTAACGGAGGCAACGGCGGCGAGACTCCCTGCTCCGGCGACCACTGTGAGGAGTCTGGCTCCAAGGGTGAGACTCCCTGCTCCGGCGACCACTGCGAGGAGTCCGGTTCCAAGGGCGGCAACAACGGCGGCTCTGGCAACAACGGTGGCTCTTCCGACTCTGGTTCCAAGGGCGAGACTCCCTGCTCCGGCGCCGACTGCGGAAACTCCGGCAACAACGGCGGCTCCTCCGACTCCGGCTCCAAGGGCCAGAACAACGGCGGATCTTCCGACTCCGGCTCCAAGGGCGAGGCTCCTTGCTCTGGCGACCACTGCGAGCCCACCATCGTCAACGGTGCTGGTAAGCAGGCTGTCAGCGGTCTTGCTTTCCTTGCTGCCGTTGCCGCTGCTCTTCTCTAAGCGCATGCGCAACTAGCATCTGATAGCGACTTCTTTTCTTTTTTTTCTTCTGCATAGAGGAATAGCATTTCGGGGGGAGTAATTTGATGGTGTCTGGCTTCGTTGTGATTGGAAAACTTGGTGCGCATTGGAGGGTTAATGGGTAATCTACTCAATTTGATGTTTGATCAAATCTTTTTCGTGCTTGCTTGTGACTGTGACTTGGATGCTTGCCTGTATTTGCACCTCAATCTCGGTGGTGGTTCATCAATGGCTTGGGAATTGTCGAGGAGATCATTCTGCTTGATCTCTTTGTCTTGAAAGAGCACATATTGATCATAGAATGGAACCACATTCAAGCTGTTTTCTGTTCTCTTAGCCATGAAGCAACATACCCTGCATACCTGCAAAGAGCCCGAGTTTGTAGGGTCTTGAGCATGGCCTATGCTTTGACTTCGCTTCAGCTGTCAGCTCGCCAGCTAGCCGATCGATATCTCCACCGGCAGCTATACGACGACCCATGCAGATGACCATGAGCACTGCCTCTTCCTCCTTAGTACACAAACAATTATTCCGTCGGGTGCTTTCTAGAAAAATAGCTCTGTCTAACATTATTGATGTCATTGTATCTCTGCGACTACATTCGCTGGCGACAGGCTGCGTCAATTGCCCATTGTTCAATATCAGCATCAATTAAGCCTCCATATAAATTTTCAACGTCTGTGCATGATGCAACCAATTTCCCACCTGATCTGATCTCACCTCTTGGCAAACTGGTTCCACAGTTATGTCATTAACAAGTCTCCTCAGTTCATCAACTTCTCACATATCCATCCATACATACAATACAGTCACTATCTCAACTGCCATCATTACCATCCTCAACAGAAAGCTATAAAAGACCCTTAGAGTTCTAGACTAACATCCGCCATAACCGTTGCCAACATCTCACTCGCTCTGATCCTTTCCCAAGTTGCCTAGCAACTGGGTCCTCTAGTGTCCCTTGGCGCGTTCCCACATCCTGGGAGTGATACGAGCCTGGGGGCCACTAAACCCAGAAGGCAAAGTCTGCTAAATTTGGAGCACCAGTGAGAGGTCCAGGTACAGTAAAAACCCCGGATTAACCCCTTAATGCGCCAACCGAGACAAAAACTCGCCTCTAGCCGACGCGTACGGACTGGAATTTCTCTCTTTTCCCATCTCTTTTCGCATCACCAACCTCACATTCGTTATCCAAACCACCTTACAATCGCTTTTAATTAATTCTATTCACTTTCCGCCAAAATGTCTACCTCAGTCAGCTCCGCCTCCGCTGCTAGCAGCAGCACCGCCTGCGCCGCTCAGCTGTACAACCAGCCCAACCAGGACAACACCTGCGCCATGCCCTACTCCAAGGACCACATCTCCATGATGGAAAAGTGCTGTGGCGACGCTCAGATCGTCTCCTACTACGATGACTGCGGCATCTACTGCGTCGCTATCGACCAGTCCACCGACGCCCTCAGCAAGTGTCTTTTCAAGGAGGGAGCTGGCAACACCGACGTCTTCTGCAGCGGCAGCAAGAAGGTCACCAAGACCGAGGACGCCAAGGTTCCTGCTACCGCCCAGGCCAGCGTCGTCTCCAGCAAGGACGATGATGACAAGGATGACGATGATGAGGACAGCACCTCTACTGGTACTTCTACTGCTACCGGCACTGCTTCTTCGGCCGATGCTTCTTCTACCGAGACTGATGCGCCTTCTTCTGCTGCCAAGAGTGGTATCAGCACCATGGGTGTCGCTATCGGAGCTCTGCTTTTCTCCTCTTTCGCTTTCGGTTTCCAGCTTTAAGCAGTTTGCGACTTTGCATCTTTCTACGTGTCAATAATTTGGATGGTGGTTATATAATGGACGACAAAAGAATTTGGATATTTTAATATGTATTAATTGGCGAACAAATACCCTCGTTTGTGCAATCGGTTGACCCTGAACTCTTGCGACCCATGCGTGACCTGTGCTCTTCGGCTACAGTACAAGCCTGAATTGAATGTCTCCATATGAAGTAATGGCGGGTCTGAATGTTTCGTCCATAGTTGCAATGATGGAAATGCACGTCATCGAGGCCCGCATGGTCAATGTTCTGCAAGCGAAGGTTCCATAAACGCCATGAAGCCTCATCCATTGGTCCCAACGGCTTTGCAGGAATGCGCATCAGGGGCTTTCTACTTGCATGTGTTGGTCAAGCTCAATTGCCATCATTTCCCAAATGCTGGTTTCTTCAGTGTCTTTGGAGAGAACCTCAATCGTGCTGTATACATACTAGTGGTAGCCTTCATTTGACCTGTTCGTTCTGCGACAACAAGATCGCATCAAGGCAAAACGAGGCAACATCATACCACAACAATGGATGGTTCAATTACTCCCTGAAAGCCTCCAACTTCATCCTCCCATAATACAAACACAACCCCCAAACCGCATCAACAACAACAATATCCGCAAAACTAAAAACAAGACTCCCCCCAAACACAAACTTGTAATACCACCACGCATTCCCATCGTTCAAGTCACTAACCTGACACACAATAGCCCAAGGCAAAACATACAGCAGATTACTGGTCAGACTCTGATACAAGTACCACTTCGGTCTCGTCGCGAGAAGGATTGTCGCAAGTTGTGTTGACATGGCGTAGAAGATATAACACCAGTCGAGACTCTGCCACATGTAGGCTGTCACGTCAGCGACTTCGTCTGAACCACTGATATATCGTGCGAAAGGCTTGGCGCCGAAGAGTGTTAGGAATATCGCGATGGGGACTTCGAAGATTAGAGCCAACGTGAGAGATCTCAGTGCTGGACGTGTGATGTTCTGCAGGTCTTTGAGTGAAGCTCTAGGCTTGCGGGTGCTGATATCCATCCGTCGTCGCCAATCACCCCAATTGTGTCCAATAAATTGCAGCGCTGTGGCTTCAAGCGCTTGAACGGGGACCATGATCAATCCCCAGCGGATAGTATTGAAGACACCCCATGCAGTAGCATACACCGCGCCCAACGCAACAATGGTACTCACAAGCCAGAGATACAAGGCATTCCTAACAGCTGACTCGGTGAAGAAGATAAGGCCAGGTGGAAGAAGCACTTTCAGCGCGTCGAAACTCGGTCGTAGTTTATCTTGTGGCTCGCGTGGTGTATGTTTGATGAAGGAGTATGTATTCGACCACAGGAAATACAAAAGGCCAGCTATAGCAGCCACCAGATTGCAGACGAGCTGTATAGTGCCCTGCATGTTGACCGTAGGCGTGAAGCTCCCGACGTGGAATTTGGAGATTATGAGGAAGTCTAGGATGATGTTGACGGCGAATTTGATGCTGCTGATTGCCAGTGGAATATCGGGCTTGTCTAAAGCTCTCGTTGCTGTTGACACAGCTGTTTCCAGCGTCCCAGCAAAGACCGTGAACGATGTGATCCGGACATATGTCAAGCTCACATCTCTAATTTCCTCAGGTACAAAACCTCTAGCGAAAGCCTCTGCAGCCGCGACGAAGATGATGCTCAGTATCAGACCAATTACTGACTGGAACAGTATCAGAGTATGTGTAAGCTGCAAACGCTTCGCAAGAGACCTAGAAGCTTTGTCACCGATAATAACCCACGCAGCTCTCGGCAAACCCTCATTTACCGCTTCAGAGGCAGTGTTCATATACGTATATGCATCTGTAAGAACAACCTTGGAAGAGTCAATGTCGGAGACCCATAGTTTGGAGAGTGTGCCGTAGAGGGTGGGGAGAATGAAGGATGCTAGATTGAAGAGGAGGGAGCCTGTGTAATGGGTGCGATGGAAGGCTGATGAGCGGATGCGTCTGGTGATGCTACTCAGGATCTTCATGGCGATGAATTTTAAGATGGAATGCATTCATTCTTGGGAGGTTTTGAAGATGTTACAATGGGAAATTGATGTTGTGATCCGGGAAGGAGGAGGTGAAAGCGGCTGAGGAGGGGCATTCAGCTGGTCGGCCTCCCACATGAAGAGCGAAGCCACAATTGGCAATAATAGGAAGCATTTTCCTCTATGCGCTGCATTAAAATTATGTTGAAATGAATGTTTAGGAAATTATTATTTGGATTGATGTTGGCAAAAGTGAGGATTGCGGATTGGCGTGTAAGTGCTGTAGTGGAGAATTCCAGTGGGCACAGCCTGTAGAAAACCGCCCGCCCAGTCGACCTTACAAAACCTACCAACTTTCTCAATTGCAAGCCACCTCCCAACCATACAACAATCTCTGAATAACCTCAAAAACATCAAAAAAGGAATTATCGCCTGACAAAGGCTCGTACTGCGTAATCTGGGAATCGAACCCAGGGCTCCCCGATATCTTGTTGGTTCCAGAGGAACTCGACTGGCAACGGAGAATTTTACCACTAAACCAATTACGCTGGTGCTGAAGTTGAAGTCCGATAAAGTAATGTGGTACAAGAAACAAACAACCTGAACCGTCATGAGGTTTCTTATGAATACGCGACGGAACTGCTGTTTTAATTGTCCATTGGAGATTGATGGCGAGTTTGCGACTTCTAACAGATGATTGCTGTGCGGGCGGAACACTGGGAGGTGATTTGCAATTGAGAGCCTGCGATCTTTCTTGCCGCAGTCAGCGCTTGCGAAAAAAAAGAGCTCTCAGATCAATTGCCATGTCAATATCCTTGTTCCCATGCTCAATGTAACATAAGAAACGCCCAGCTGGTATTGTCTGTGTTTGTATCCATGCTCGGCATGCTTGCGTAATACCAGTCAAACTCACGATAGCTTTGACACTTTGTGCGACCGTTTGCTCAATTGACCAGACCATTGTAAAGTTGGTCAGAGAATTTCCTATTGTCAAAGACCAAGAGACAAATAACGGCCCAAGCCTCAATCAAACCCTCTCGGCCTTAATTGAACCGTCTCAATACCACCTCTCAATGGATTGGTTTTCGAGGTGAGTCGGGTCTCAGATATTCGGTTTAAATCTCAAACAATCCAGCCCGTGATTCAGATCAGATGAGCCACTGCCGAGAGTCACTATTCCAAATATACATATTCAAGCGAGATACGCATTGATACTGTCACTATCAACCTCGGTGGTACTGACATCCGAACCTTGCCTGCTATCCTGCGGAAACAAACCGGTAATCTTACTACGACTCTGACTTATCACACACACTCATTATTTGTAAGGCTCTGCTTACTCTTGCTCTTACATGGGACAATTCCGCTTAGCGACGCTAGAACACCCCGCGTACCTTTCTTAGTCGGTCAGTGTGTTTGTCTCAGTTGATAGTCATGCCTATCACAATCCGATGCAAGGGGTAGCTCTGGTTGCGGATCTCGGCTGCAACGGTCCAGATTCACTGTCAGATAATTTATCATTTTTTTTCTTTTCTATACCACCTTGATCCATGGTGTCTTTGTTAGTTAAAAGTTGCCTCTGTTGTGTTGTTCTGTCTTACATGCATGCACAAACATCTCACCGCAGCGGGAACGCTGAGAGAAGTGGCAAGGAAACGCTGCATATATTCCTCTGCAAGGGATTCCAAATAGGAGTCATGACTAAAAACTCCCGCTTTGCATAGAGTGGACTCATGTAATCTCAGAGATGCCGTCCATCGCGAGCAAGATACGGCTTATACCGTCTTGCGGAAAGGCCCCCTCTACCAAAAGGTACCCAAAGGGAAGATCTCAATAGCCAGCCCGCACGTTAGTGTCCGAGTGTTGTTATTCTCCGGTTGGTCAACTTTGTACTGCCGGGCCTTGCGAGCTACTGCAAACAAGACTACAGTGAGTTTCGCATGGTAGCGTCGTGCCCGATGGTGGTCGGACCGCTGCAAGAGCCGGAATAGTGGAGTAGACGATGCGATCTAGTCCAGGCGTCATGAACTACCAACGAAAACAGAGGTACAACTACCGGGATTATCAGAATACAACACAAATTAGTATCAAGACATGCTGCAGCTATTCCAATGCAGTCTAGGCTCGCCCGTTTGCGTAGAGTCGATCAGCGGATGACGCTCAATTTGTAATTTCGAGACATCTCTAGCTCTTGTCTCTCTCGTTGTGAGTCTGTCTCGTCTCATATAAAGTCCCCGGATGATCGCCATCTGGGAATAGCCGACTCAATTCATCATACACTCCTTCTCTTCGCTTCTTCCCAGCCATCATGCTCAAATCTCTGGCTCTCTTTTCCCTTCTCGCTGCTGCTTCGGCACGCAAATGCACAAACATTACCGTCCCTGTATCTCTGACCTCCGAGAACACAGAGTTCGGCATCGAGACTCCTCTGTCAAAGATTGATGTTACGAATTTTATTATCAATATTGCTAGACAAGGTGGTGAACCTTATCCTCTTACTATTGCCAAGGGTGTAAGTCATGTCACCCCAGAGAATTGAGTGAGAGGGGAGCTAACTTGAGTAGAAAAAGAATGTAACCGGCACCTACGATCTCGCAGCAACATACTGCGAACCCGACGCCGGTCCTGGCCGTGAACTCCAGATCATGACCCACGGTATCGGGTTTGATAGGAGTTACTGGGACTTTCCCTTCAACAACTACAACTACAGCTACGTCGCCCGCGCCGTTGACGAACACGGCTACTCAACCCTAACGTGGGACCGTCTCGGCATCGGCGCTTCATCCAAGGGCGATCCTCTTAACGAAATCCAAGTCAACATCGAAATCGCCGCTCTCAAAGCCCTAACTCAAAAGGCCCGCGAAGGCTCCCTTCCCGGCTGCGGCTGCGCCGGATACTCCAAGGTCGTACACCTAGGCCACTCGTTCGGTTCAGTGATTAGCTACGCTCTCGCGAATGAGGCTCCTGAACTTACTGATGCTATTGTTCTTACCGGCTTTACTCAGGCTACTGCTTATCTGCCTTGGTTTGCCGTTAGCAACAACTTCATTCCTGTTACAGACTCGCCTGCCAAGGGCAAGTACCCCCCTGGCTATGTCGCTACAGCTTCGACTGTAAGCGTGCATACCAACTTCTTCTCCGAGGGAGATTTTGATCCTGAGATGTTGGAGGAGGCGTATAAGAAAGGTCAGCCTGTTACGCCTGGTGAGCTGTTGACGTTGGGTGGACCTGCGGGCGTGAACAACACATACACCGGTCCCGTCCAAATTGTGACTGGCTGTAAGTTACCCTCTACTCTCTATCAATTGACTCTGGAACATACACTGACATCTTCTAGCACGCGATATTCCTTTCTGTGGCGACAACTGCTACTCTACCTCCAGTGTAGACGAAGACCTTCCTTCATTGCTCGACTTCTCCAAGAAATTCTTCACTCAAGCTTCACGATTCAACACGACTGTTGTTCCAGGTGCTGGCCATGGATTGAACTTTGCATACTCTCACACTTTTACTTACGATGCTATCTTCGACTTTCTTTCCGAGTAACTCGATTGACATTTAACGATAACCTCTTTGTTTATTTGGCCCAGATGTACATAGCTTGCAGCTTATAATATATTTCATTACACACCCGTATCAGTGGAACAAAAATGATCCGTCTTAGATCCATACCGAGGCATGGAATTTTGCATCATCCCATTTTATTTCCATCCATCATTCCATCGTTGGTGGATTGCCTGCACAAACCGCTGACAGCCGACCCCCACTTCCAAGACCCTGAAAGCCACCTGTAACGGGCAGGCGATTAGTGAACTGCAACCACTAGCTTCCTGTTTCGTTGATGGCTTCCGTCATAACAAAGACTCCGAGGTCCATAGCGGGGTTGTCGCTATCTCTGTCTCTATCTCGGTGTCTTTCAAGATCCCCCACTGCTATTTGTTTTTCTTCCTTGAAAGCTACACGAGGAATCTCTACGACTTCACGACAGAGATTTACGACTTACGCGCAACGACGATCGTTCTCGAATACACCTGTAAAGATGGTCGCTGAAAACTACGATGCTGTCCTCAAGGGCAAATACCCAGGCAAAGACCACGCCAAACGCGTCGTCGACCTCATTCGAAAGGACATCCCCGATGCGAACGGTATAATCTACCTCGAGAGTCAAATGACTCGCATGATGGAAGACAGCGACGAGCCCCAACCCTTCCGGTCTGTCCCAAGTCCTTATCTTTAGACCACCCTCTGACCTTCAAACAGCCAGCGACGATACTTTTACTACCTCACCGGCTGCAACCTCCCCGACTGCCACTTCATCTACGACATCCAATCCTCCAAATCAATCCTCTTCATCCCTCCCATCAACCCCGACGACGTAATCTGGTCCGGTCTCCCTGTCAGCATCGACGAGGCCCTGACACAATACGACGTCGACGAAGTAAAGCTCACCACCGAACTCAACGCAACACTCGCCCACCTCGGCGCCGAAAACCCAAAGTCCTCCGCCTTTGCCATCGCGAACCAAATCTCCGACCACGTCTCCTTCATCGGCTTCGACAACAAGAACTTTGAGGTCCTCAAGAACGCTATCGAGGTTTCCCGTGTCGTCAAGGATGAGTACGAGATTGCTATGCTGCGAAAGGCAAACTACGTCTCTGGCATTGGCCACCGTGCTGTTTTTGCAAAGGCCAAGGCTGCCAAGAATGAGCAGGAGCTTGAGGCTGCGTTTATGGAGCGATGCTTTGCGCATGGGTGCAAGAAGATGTCGTATGACCCCATTTCTGCGGCTGGACGAGCTGCTGCTACGCTGCACTACGTCGGAAACGATGCTCCTACAGAGGGAAAGCTGAACCTCTTGATGGATGCTGGTTGCGAATACAACAACTACGCCGCCGATATCGTAAGTGCGCCCTTTCAACATTGAACTTCTCTAACAATCGCAGACACGAACATTCCCTCTCTCGGGCAAATTCACCAAAGAGTCGCGCCACATTTACGAAACGGTTCTCAAGATGCAAAAGGCCTGCATAGACGTCCTCAAGGAGGGTGTTCTCTGGGATGATGTCCACGTGTTGGCCCACCAGATCGCCATCGACGGTTTGCTCGAGGCTGGTATTCTGAAGGGTGACAAGGATGAGATCCTCAAGGCTCGCACAAGCGCTGCTTTCCTTCCTCACGGTCTGGGTCACTACCTTGGCATGGACACCCACGATACCGGTGGCAACCCCAACTTCGCCGACAAGGATAAGTTGTTCCGATACTTGCGCGTGCGAGGAAAGCTCCCAGCTGGCAGTGTCGTCACCGTCGAGCCTGGTGTAAGCACCCCCATCTCCAACAAAATATGCTGGTACTGATTGACACTCTAGATCTACTTTTGCAAATTCATCATCGATCCTTATCTCGAAGACCCCGCGCACAGCAAATTCATCAACAAGGAAGTCCTAGACCAGTACTGGGATGTCGGTGGAGTCCGGTAAGTCACCGTCACGCTATTGAAATGAACCTGGTTTACTAATAACTATCAATAGTATTGAGGATAACATTCTTG